ATTCTGCCTTATCCAGGAGCACTGTGGAATGAATGAAGAGATCTCCTTCAAGGAGACCTTTATTCCTGAGGATTTTTCTTGCCCATGTGCATTTCTGCTCCTGAAATCTGACTCCAGTATTGTAACATCTCTAGGGTCTTCTCCATAGCAGTAACTGATTTGGTTGATGAGGGATGGAAAGCTGGAGCTGGACTAATTTGAGGAACCAGGTGGGCTCATAAAGAGTCATTACTGATGAAGGATGACTTACTGACGGTTTAAAGACAGCTGTTTTCTCTACTGTTCAGTTTTTTCCTGAATGCACTTGAGGATTCTTTGGTAATGTCTTCTGATTTACCACTTGTCTTTGTATTTAATATCAAGGAGGAACATAGATTGAAATGATTGCCTTGGTAGCAACTTTAGTGGTGAAGGGTGTGGAGTTATTAAAATTTATAGTCATGCTGTTTTTTTTGCAGCTACACTTTGCTTGTCTTGGAGAGGCTTATAAAAGGGACCAAGGAATGTGGAGGGAGAGACAGTACCACATTGTGGTATAAAATCAACTGTGCAAATCTTGTTTCTTTAGTGTTCTATTTGCTAAAATTTACATTTATTTCTGGGCTTCGCTGATAGCTCAGATGGTAAAGAATCCACCTGCAATGTGGGAGACCTGGGTCCAATCTCTGGGTTGGGGAGACCCCCTGGAGGAGGGCATGGCAACCCACTCCAGTATTCTTGCCTGGAGAATCCCCATGGACAGAGGTGGGCTAGAGTCCATGGGGTCGCAGAGTCAGACATGACTAAGCAACTAAGTACAGCACAGCACATTTATTTCCACAATATTCCTTAATAACAATGTTGCCAGACCAATAAGTCCTTGGCTTGTGCCTCTACATTCAGCTACACTCATGAGGGGAAAGAAAGAGAAAAGGCAACTGCCTGAGGTCCCAGTGTATGCTCAGCCATATACCATATGCTTCACATGCATGTATTCTTCTAAAATCCTCACTGCATGTCACTTTTCTTCCTCCATTCGTCCGTTTACAGAAGAAACACCAGAAGTTAAACAACCTGTCCAAGGTCATACCTTTAAAAAGTCAGCGGTATTGTTGGAACCTGCAGCTGCTGATTAAGTCGCTTCAGTCGTGTCCGACTCTGTGCGACCCCATAGACGGCAGCCTACCAGGCTTCCCCGTCCCTGGGATTCTCCAGGCAAGAACACTGGAGTGGGTTGCTGTTTCCTTTTCCAATACATGAAAGTGAAAAGTGAAAGTGAAGTCGTTCAGTGGTGTCGGACTCTTCGCGACCCCATGGACCGCAGCCCACCAGGCTCCTCCGTCCGTGGGATTTTCCAGGCAAGAGTACTGGAGTTGGTGGCCATTTCCTTCTCCAATTGTTTGAACCAAGAGATGCTGAAACCCATGTTTATCATATTGAACCAATTAGCATCTCTAGTAATCAGACTTTTAAATGGTCAAATGATTGGATGGTTCATTCTCCTATTCTCATATATCTCTTATATTTGTGTAATATTTTATTATTTATGAAATATTATCATATTAATCTTGTCCTTTCAGTCATGAAATCATGACTATCATGACATTCATGATTATCATATTAATCATGTTATAACAGTCCTCCAAATTGTATAAAGCTGGTCTTCCATCCCCATAATATCTTATTAAGATGTGGGTTCAGAAAAGTTAAATAACTTGCCCAAGGTTAGTCAGGGTTGACTCCAAAGCCAGTGTTTTTTATCCTTCACATCTTCTCTTTTCTGAACACCTGTGCCATCAGAGTTTATTTTCATGGCAGCTGAGCGTGATGGAATCAAGCCTGGGCAACTGTATGGTTATTTGCCACCAAGCTTGTAATGAACTGAGACGAAGCAGTTAGCCACGGATTATAATGCCACTGTGGTCCCAAGACAAATGGTGAGGAGTTGCAGTAATGAAATCTTATTACTGGGAGGGAAGAGACCACATCTGAGGTCCAGCACAGCCACACTTACCACTGCGGGAAACACAGTGAAACATGTGGGCGAGGGTCTCCCCTGACAGGGGCAATGCACGAGCAGGACTAAAAAGACCTCTCCGAAATAGTGATGGCAGTGGCAAATGTGTGGTGCCCAAGATAAGGACCAAATATTTATTTTGGCAGAGATTAAATCTTTTCTTTGCCTGAATCTATTATGGATCTTGCAGAAAAGCTGCCCAAGTGAACATATCTCGCTGATCAGACCACTCAGTGAGCCAGAACTGTACTTTGCCACTGCTGTTGCTGAAAAGCTGCAGAAGGCTGCTTTCAAGGTCTCCTCTCTCCCCCTAAAACTGTTCTCCATCCCCGATTAATTAGTGACTCTGAGGTGAATTGAATCTCCAACCGTCTGTTCCATGCATCCAGGATTTATACAGTGGTTTTTTATAGAATAGTGGTGCAATCAACAGCCCTCATGGGGTAGGCAGTGGAGTGATGGTATCTGCAGTCATGGTTTCCTAACTCCCCTAGTCCTTCCGTTCTGCTAAAAAGGTTATGACTCAGATTGTTATGGAGGAGGAAACGGCAACCCACTCCAGGATCTTGCCTTGGAGAATCCCATGGACAGAGGAGCCTGGCAGGCTACAGACACGACTGAGGTGACTTAGCAAGACACAGGTTGTTATAGCCTTACTTGTTTAGGCTTGGGGATGATTCGGTACCAACACACACACACACACACACGCACACACGCACGCACACACACACACACAAACATACACACACACCCTTAGAAGTTCATGCAAACTCTTTAAGTAAGAAAAAGCAGAAGTCATACTGTCATGTCTACATTCCCAGAGAATTAAGGAGAAAGAATAAAATGGATCATAATACTATGAATTATGGGCATGAAAGATGCAAAGGAAGCCATCATCAGGTTCATTTACCCATTCATCATGTTTTAATAGTAGGTACTTTGGTCAGTGCTGGAGATGCAGAGATAGGAAAGCAAAACAAAGCTGAGAACACACTGTCACAACACACAGGGACTTCAGAAATCTTGTTTCTTAAAAACTTAAGAAAATGAGTATGTTTAGTCTTCATTTGGGGAGGCACCTGAATTACTTCTCCCAGAGAACAGAACATGGAAATTGCAGACATCATTTTACGTTGCGTGCTGCACTGTCAGGGCACAAAGGAAGCAGTGATATGTCTTAAGTATCCCTGCATGCTGAAAGCAGTCTAGATTCCTGCTTTTGAAGATTAAGACTCCTAGGCCTTATTCATTCTTTTGTTGGGCGCAAGATGTGTTCACATACTAAAGGAAAATCTGAGGAAAGCCCATCTTCTGGGAAAATAAGTGATGTGTGGCAAACTACATGGAAGCCAGTACCTAAAATCTCACCAGAACTCTTACTGACTCTTAAGTGTGTGTGTGTGTGTGCATGCACGTGTGCACGTGCGGTTAGTCACCCAGTCATGTCTGACTCTTTGCAACCTCATGAACTGTAGCCCTCCAGACTCCTCTGACCATGAAATTCTCCAGACAAGAATACTGGAGTAGGTTGCACTTCCTTTCTCCAGGGGATCTTCCTGACCCCGAGATCAAACCCGGGTATCCTGCATTGCAGGCAGATTCTTCACTGTCTGAGCCACAGAGGCAGCCCCAACTTTGTGTATAGTGAGAGCTTAATAAATAGTGTATTTACGTATCGAATGGACCAAATTACTAAACTTGAGATTCAGTGAAATCTCTATCTATGTTGGTTTATGTGGATTCTGGACTTCTTTTCCCATATTCTTCTGCATCCTTTATTTCTCCTCTTCCTCCTTCTTCTTGAATATAAAGAAATAAATTAGCCTCCAACTGATAAAAAAAATAAAAATAAAACATGAATCCCATAAAAAAAAGAATATAAAGAAATAGAGCATAGCAGAGAGTATGGGAGCAAATATTGTGACTCAGTCTTGTAGAACATCAAAATTGCAGCTAAATTTTGTTATTTTTGAAAGTCCAACCAACTGTTTAACCAATAAGCCAGACAACTAGAGAAATGGAGAAAGATGTCTCCTGACACCCTGCATGCTGATACATTCATAGAGGTGGCAGGAGACTGATTATATCTGATAATGATACTATGTCATCTTCTGAATAGTAATTCCAACTCTTAGTCATAACCAATTATTAGAGAAGAGTAAGACTTTTAATAGCACTGTTATTTACATGTCAGTGTTTCTAGGCACTTCGCAGGGGTTGAATAATGTCACCACCACCACCAGCATCACCATTGTTATCATCTTCATTGCCCTAGTGTTACTCTTCTGGAATTCATTGTGTCAGGGCCACGGAGGTTCTCTTCTGCTGTGTAGCATAAAGTCATAGCAGTGAATATTACCTCCCTCTTTGGATTAATCTTAGGAATAGGGCTACAAGCGTAGAAGAGCGCCAGCATCTGACTCAGAAAACCCCAGCTCAGTTCCAGCTGCCTCCCCTGACGACATATTTTCCAAATGCTTTCAACCTACAGAACGTGTCACCAGGGGTATGTCTACAGTGCTGCCTCCCAAGGAATTGGCTCCTCACCGTCATGTACCCCTCCTCTGGGTCTTGATTGTCCCCCAGAGTGCAAGCAGCCTTGTATTTCCCTTTTAATCCTAAATCTGAATCATGAGGGAACCTACAATTCAGAGTCTGATTAGCCTTTTCTCAAAAAACAGGCCTAATTCATCTCCCAGAACCTTGCAGTGTCCTTACTCACTTGTTCACTAGTTCTGTGGTTCCAACTTTGATATCTGTTGAGGGCAATCAGATGATGTAACCTGTGCAGGGCAGCCTCCGAGAGCAATTTGGGTGGTTTTGTACCTTTGGCTTTTATGTCCAGGATGAAAGCCCATGGAGAAATGTAGGATGCTATTATTAACTTCAAGCTGACAGCTCTCTCTGGGGTACCTCCAGATTCATTGTTAGTTTCAGGATCAACTTGAAAGGGAGAAAACCTTGCGGTGGGTGGTGACTTGCCTCTTGTGTCTCTTTATTATAGGAACAGGGGAAGATCGGAGTTGTCTTCAATATTGGCACAGTGGACATCTCCATCAAAGAGGAGAGGACTCCGGTAAATGATGGCAAATACCACGTGGTGCGCTTCACCAGGAACGGCGGCAATGCCACGCTGCAGGTGGACAACTGGCCTGTAAACGAGCATTACCCCACAGGTACGTGCTTGACTCTCGGTGACCAGACTCTCCTTTGTTCTCCCATTTTTGCCTCCAGCAGGTGACTTTCTCACGACTGTCACCAGATCATAAGAACACTGAATATTAAGCACACATGATTTTTTTTGGATGAGAAGCTAAGTTATTGAACATTTCTTTAGGACTGGATTCAGGATAGGAGCTTCTGGAGACTTCCCAACTATGCACTGAATACTTCTTTTGTCTGATTAATAGTGCCTGACTGGCTCATACCATATACAATGACTATGGATTTTCTGGGGCACTGCAAATGATGAGTAATGGAGGTAAGGGCTACCATCTCTAACATAAGCAAGTATCCACACTCATGGAATAATTAATATGATTATTGATTAATGGTTGTGGCACTGTTCGGTCAGGTGTGGTTGAACATACAGATGGCCAGAGATGGCAGAAAGACTGTAAAAGGAAATTTACTAAACTTGAAGAGCATCAAGTCAGAGTAACCAGGAGAGAAAAACTTCAGGGTGGAATTTCATTCATTTGGTTGACTTTGCCAATTTTTTTTTTTTTTCTCTCTCACTTATACTAGCCTACCTTGATTTTCCGAGATTGGTCCTAATAGGTGTTTTAATAGCAGGCATGCTGGTGTGGGAGGGAGAGGGGTTCACCAATTGTTTAAATTTTATAGTCAAGGAGAGTTCACCAGCAAATTCCCAGGACCAGATGGCTGAATCAAGGGCACTGGGAAGGGAGGTTGCCTTCTTTAGAAAGACTGTTCAAATAATCCCTTAGCTTTCCCTCTTATCTTTCACTTCTCACGAGAGCCTGAGTGCTGATCATGTAAGTGCCCAGAATGGCAGGAAAACTTCTTTGGCTAAAGACTGTTGTTCCATCACCACATTATCACCTGGTGGATACCAGAGAATAGCTCAGAATACTGAACTGGTCGCTAATGTAGGCATGTATGTGGTGCCTAACTCTCTATCTCCTACACTCCAAATGGCCCATGATTTTCTCACTGTTCTCACTTTCTTTTTAGTGAGGCGGGCCCAGGGGTGAGGAAGCCAGCAGCACCTTTCCAGAAGTGTAAGATCCATTGAGCTAATAATCATCACACATAAGAGAAATATGTAAAGCACATCTGCCTGTTTGTGGCCCAAGAATGTTGCATTACTTGAAGGCGGGGATTATTTTTTTCATGCCTGAGTCAGCTTTGCTTTCCTTTAAAAGCCAATCAGAAGTAACTGTGCTACTGGGTTTTTCCTCTGTTAGCCATAGTCTTCCTATGTCTGGGTTAAGAATTATGGAAGCATTCACAGACGAACATACAAGACCCCCAAAGTACTGAAGGGCAAAGCCCCACCCACTCACTTATCCACCATCTCTATATCCATCTCCCCATACAGTATCCAGCTCAGTCTTTGCTGGGAGTCTCTCGACATACTCTTAGCACTTCTCAGATTATTATAGGCACAAAAATGACCTTCTGTGTTTATCATTGAGCCTCTGAGGAAAGCCAGAGGTGTTAGCCACTACTGTGAATTCTCAGCATCATCCAAATTCACCAGGCACTAATAGACCTGATTTTTAAATGCTTCTTGCTTCGACTCCTGGGGCTGAGGAGTGGGAGCCATCAGAATAGCCTGAAATCCTAAAAACTGTTCATTTGTTCCTAGGGAAAATCAATCCCTCTCCATGTGTGTTATCATTGGCCCTGCCACCGCTGCTGTAGGGATTGTTATGTTTCTATTAAGAATTTCAAGGCTTCTAAATTGATGCTAACACTTGCCCTGAGCCAATACAGAATTCACAAGTTTGCTGCAAGCAGTGAGCAGGCTCTTTAATGGCCATTTTTAAAGCCACGTATATGTAAGAAAACCAGTCGCCCTAGCTGTGTGCCTATCTCTTGGTATCTTTAGTTCCAAATTATGGGTTGCTTCCTATGTTTTCAAAACGGAATAAACTTTTCTTTAATGGCATTGCTTCCCACTGAAAACCATTATGACAAGTAACTGTTGGTAACTGTTATTTAGTAATAATATGTGTTATTATTGCAGGACATGATACAGTATAGCAGTTATAAGTATGGGCTTTGGAGTCAGCTGGCTGGGGTTGGGATCCTGGTACCGTTAGCTGTAATTCCAAGGCCTGCTAGATTAAGACCTTGAAATGCCCTAAGCACTAAAATATTTGGCACATGTCCGCACATATAATTCAAAATATAACAACTGTAAAATAAGTGTAAGAATTTCTAACAGTTCTGATTTTTTTTTTCCCCCCTCTGAGGGGCTCTATAATACTTTCAAAAATATGTCAGATTCTTCCTCCCCACATTTTCCTGTGTTACTCTTGCTGCTTTCTTAGTTCTCTAGATAAGGACTCATTCCTCCTATTTGGTGATCCAGTTCCAAACCTTAATCAAAATGTTGATCCTCCCAAGTCTCTGTTTCCTAGTCTATAAAATGAGATGATGATAATACTTACTCTCCAGGGCTAATGTGAATATACATGTCAAATATCCTACGTAATGCTGGGGCAGATAAGTCATCACTCAATGACTGTTAGCCACGAGGATTACCCAACTTTTGACTAACATTTCTTACTATTACAATATTCACTTATACAGACTACTTCATTAAATAACCTGTAAATTAGACAGGGTAGGCATTTTTATTCTCTATTTCAAATTTAAAATGAAACCCAGGGAGATATTGTGTTTCTTCTAAGGTCATGAGAAAATACTAAATGAGGGACAGAACTGAGACCAGATTCTCTGATTCCAAGCTGAGCACAATTTCTAATATTCCTCCTATAGCAAATTGGGGGATATTTTGAAAAATGAATAGAGAGAAATGAGCATCTTTCTTGTGTCATCTTATATTTGTTCCTTTTCTTAAAGTGTCATATTACAAAGATCAATACGGTAACCACACAAAGGTGGCTGGAGTAGAAAATCCTCTTTTAAAAAAAGACAAATTCTCTTAGCTGTGCTAAAAGACTCATTTGTAGTGAGACCAAGCTGTCCTCCTAACAACAGTGGTAATGTGCTTCCCTGAAGCAGTTGGAAGAATACCGAGCATTTAAAGAAGCTGTCACTTTTCCCCGTTACCTAGATTGGCAGTGGCTTTGAGAAGTTAGCTTTCTAGTTGGACTAGCACTTCCTAGGAGTGTCTCACCTCTTCAGTTTTGGATACCTTATTTTCTCTCCCTCTTGTTTTCCTGTGGCTACTGAAAGGATCCATTTTACTAAATTTAAAGCTCTGTTACAGTAATCTGGCAATATTTGTTTATTTTTCAAGCATAAGATCAAAATACCTCCTGTATCTAGATATCAAAGAACAAAGCCACCTGGTCAAGATCTTGATATAGTTTCTGCAAAAGTGACATATCCATCCTTTCCACACGCCATTCTGTTTTATTTTTATTTATTATTTATTGGAGAATATTTATTTATTATTTATTTTATTTTTGGAGCATAATTGCTTTAGAATGTTGTGTTAGTATCTGCTCTACGGCAAAGTTAATCAGTTGTATGTTTACATATGTCTCCCCCTCTTGAGTCTCCCTCCCCCCCTCCCCCACCACACCCCTCTGGATCAAAACAGAGCCCCAAGCCGAGCTTCCTGTGCTTTATAGCAGGTTCCCACGAGCAATCGATCTCACAGTGGTAGTGTCTATGCATCAATCCTAATCTCCCAGTTCGTCCCACTCTCCTCTTCCCCCATTCCACATGCACATGTCCATTCCCTATTCCTGCCCTGGAAATAGATTCATCTGTACCATTTTTCTAGATTCCACATATGTGCGTTAATATACGATTTTTTTTTCTCTTTCTGACTTATGCCACTTTGTATGACAGATTCTGGGTCCATCCACATCGCTACAAGTGACCCTGTTTCTTTTTACTGATAGTGATAAGTCTAGAAACCACCCCCCCCCTCCCCTCCCCCTGCCAAGAGGAGTCCAGTTGTCCTACTTGTCTAAAGCTACCATTTAAACAGGAGAGAAATACAGAGGCGCTTCTACAGAATATTCAGTTACATCATCCCATCCGGAGGCCATGCTCTCAGGAAACTGCATTTTTGCTCAGCAGGCCCCTGTATACCAGGATGAATGGGTCAACTCCAGAACCTTCTCACAGACATTTATAGGATTTTATGTGACTCCACTGAAACATCCCACGGTGAAGGATTTAGAAACCAGCTGGGCCCAAGGCAGGTAGCACTGGCTTTTTGTGAATCAGGAAGGCTCCGAAATGAAAATAGTTCTGTAGCCATCAGAATCTTCTATCTCTTAATTCTGCAAGATCCGACTCAAAAGCAGCTTCTTTCTTTGAACCTGAAAATAGAAAGGCTAAGGAACAGGAGAGGACGATAAAAGAAGAATCCGCGCAGAGTTAGCACCCAGGCACTGACGGATGTTCCTTGCAAAGCCTCTGATTGCTTTCTTGACACAATGCGGTGGCAGGGACAAGCGAGGGGAGGTGAAAGGTGAGTGGAGTGTGAGGAATTAATTTTAGCCCCGGCTCTAGCTCTCCTGGTGGCTGAGACAGTAAAGAGTCTGCCTGCAGTGCGGGAGACCAGGGTTCGCTCCCTGGGTCGGGAAGATCCCCTGGAGAAGGGAATGGCTGCCCACTCCTGTAATCTTGCCTGGAAAATCCCATGGACGGAGGAGCCTGGACTATGGGGTCACAAAGAGTCGGACATGACTGAGCGACTTCTCTAGATCCCCTGGGGGGCTCAGCAGACTGAGGTTATCAAAGCTCCTCTCTCTGGCGTGAATAGGGGGTGCTCTTAGGATTCGGGTGCTGGTGTCATCAGGGCTTTCAGAACCCTGAACATGGTACAGTGATGGGACTTTTCAGGTTAGATCCAGGCTTCCTGGAAAATGAAGATGGATAAGCAGCTTCAATGTGTAAAACTCCCCATCTTCCCGTGGCAGGCGGTGCTGAAAAGAGCAGAGTCTCCATGCTCTCCCTTCCTTGACATCACATGCTGAGTTCATTGACATGCTCTTGC